GAGTACAACAGCTACAACGATGTTCGATGAAGATACGGTGAAGGTGGTCGGGGGAAGAACTGCTAAGAGTCAGAACCTTCTACACCGTGGTTTCCGCTACTCCAAAGATGGAAAGCCGACTCTGGATGGACGACAGGCTTGGAGGTGCGTGAAGAAGAACGACAGATGCAAGGGACGACTCTACACCCTCAACGGATCCCTGGTGTCAGTCACCCAGCCCCAGATGTGCATCGGCAGATTACCGAGTTACCCCGCTATCCTTGGACACTCCAACCCCACCATCTACAACTTCATCACAGCACTTCGGATGGAGCAGAGTTCAACAGATGGGAAGCACGCAGCTTACCTGGTCGGAGAGAACCCACCGAAGAGGAAGAAAGCTCACAGCGACAAGGACAGGAGGATTCACCGCATCGTGCAGAACTACCACTCTTACGAAGATGATGTCTTGACTTACCTGGATCTGCTCAAGTGTTTATATGTGAACTATTGATTGCTGTAACTTCTTGATAATGATTTGTGGGATTTAGATATTATTGCTATTGAGTGTGTCAAGTTATATTCACTTTTTGTTTTTCAACAACTCAATATTCTCGATTTACATTGTCTGCAAAGCCCTGAATAAAAAAGTAACAACTAAACTAACAAGAATTATACAAAATGATAAAGAGAAAAGAAAAAATAAAACTTATGCGAATATAGAACAAAACTTAGAAACAAGTTGAATGTGTAAGTTCTGTCTTAGGTACAGTTTCTAGTAGTAGTACCGCCGTACTGTCCAAAGTAAAGTGGGTGTCATGTGATCCGCCGTACCGTCCAACCTTTTTGGAAACTACCGCCGTACCGTCCTCCGCTGTACCATCCTCCGCTGTACCGTCCACCGCTGCAGTGACTTCCGCCGCAGTGACCGGTTCCCCTGTCCGAAATTTTGATCTGATTTCAATACGTAACATTTCCAATTAGAGGCATGATCCGAACTGTTACTTGCTAATTTGTATACGTAACATTTCCTATTTGATCTGAGCCATAGTTTACTACCATAGTTTTTCTCTAGTTGTGTAATCAACTACAATTCTCTGAAGTTGTCGATTGTAAAATATTTAGTGTTCGCTCCCCACGTGTTGATTCCACATGTGGGGAGCGAAGTTAGGATTGGTGGTTGATGTCCCGATCCAAGTACGTTTTCGTAGTATGAAGCAAACTCTGTCCACCATTCTGTTGAAGGATGATAGCTGGCAGCCAAACTTTAGCTTTGCTCTAGATTCGTAACCCAAACCACCAACTGCTTCAGATACGACGTATTTCGTTGATCTCCACCAGATGCCTTTCTTTTTTAAGTTCTGTTTGCTGACGTGGACGGTCGTTTCACCACGGTAGGAAATCCGAACATTTCCAGTAGGTGGTGTCGTCTCTTCGTTTGTCGAAGACGCATCGGAAGCCATCCAGGACAGGGTTCTCCGAGCCTTGTTTGTGTCCAGGGATAAACTGAAGATTGGTTGCCATTGTGGTCCACAATGATTGTGGATTGCGATAACTGATCCCTCATACTGCCGTCCGACTGTCCTATATCAATATGTACTCATGTAGGCTGTGTCCTGTGATGTGATCAACAGCTTGTTAGTGTACGGCTAGCACGATCCTGTCCTACTCCTCAACTAGTCAATCACGTATCGATGGATCAGATCTCAATGGATCACATCAGCATTAGAACAATGGGAGCAACGTCACGAGATTACCCGTGAGCCTGTGAAATACAAATGTGAACCGAAATTACAATATGATCCGAAATTCGGACAGATGTCGCCAAAAACGACTCCTGTCCGACAGCGACATCTGTCCGAAATCCCTAATTCGGCTGTCGGACAGATGTAGCTGTCGGACAGATGTCGCCCAATCACTGCAGACCAGAAGCTCAAAATTATGGACAACCTGGTGTCAAATTTCCGTGCGCTACTTATTAAGTGCTATTGTTAAGAGACGTACTCGGGTTTCAGCACGACAACTTACTTAACGGCCTATTTAATGCTCCAATTTTCCATGACTTCTAGAGATTATTTATTTATTATATTTCATTAAATTTAGATGACATTAATTTAACTACGTATAATGGGCTCCTTTTAACTAGAGTATGGAAATTCAGGTTCCGATATTATGGAATACCTCCGGTTTGAGACTCTCTCGGGGAAGTAGTCCCAGCCCAAACTCTCTTTGTACAGATACAATTTTAGGACAGTTATTATTTCTATTATAAATATCTCCGGGATTTCGACGCGGGATCATATTATCACTCAGCCCGGCCCGCTGTTAGATAAACATTTCAAGGTGATATCATCCCGCCCCGGAAATTAATATAAACCCGGCCCGCTTTTTAGTCGTAACTGATGTTTATCATTCAATTCTCCGACATACAATAATCAATGATACTGCTGATTAGAACTCGATAATAGTAGAACAGTTAGACGCGCGATCACGTGGGCGCGTCACGTGCGTACCACGTGCCACCAATAGCATACGCCGAGTCTATACCACGTGACACGAAAGCGCACCACGTGATATAAAACATCGTAACCGTCCACTTCTTTTACACGCAAATTCCTGGGAACGTTGCCAAAGCAGCTAATTCTTGGAATTTCTCCAACGCGTGGCGTGAGAAGTTGGCGACTAGCCAGCTACCCTTGTCCGTGCCCTAAAAATAGTATTGTTTTGCTTGCTCTCCTTCCAGCTCTTGTTCCTGCTAACGTTCAAGCTATTGCTCCACTATGACAGATCGGTTTATCACTCTCTTCTAAAGTATAAATCCCTTGTCGAAATCGCCGGAGATAATTATAATCCATAAACACTTCACCATTCACGCTCAGGGCTAAATAAATGTAATCCCTCAGCTGGCGCTTCGGGATTACATATTAACACAAAACTCGTGCGCTGCGCGCACTCGTATGTGTTTATCAGATCATCCCGCTAGCGCGGGATGATCTGTTATATAAACCCTTTATCACCCTACGCGCGTGGGGTGGACTCCTGGGGTGGACTTTTATTCAGCGCGTATTTTGTAGCCTGTTCAACTTGACGTTTTGAATCGTTACTATCTCAATGTCACAGATACATAGAATGTGAGGAGATCATCTTAAAGAGAAACGTCTCAGCTTTCACCTGGTGTAAAGTTTATCTTTGTTCTCAAAATATAGCTCGCTCAGTGTGCAACAGAAGTTGACATTACAATAACCACGTCCGCGACCGGTCGTCAGATACCGGAGTTTTGCACAAAATTGGGTCCCTAAATTAAAATTTTATGACACAGTTACGATGAACTAGTGTCTAGGGAAACATTTGGTGAAAGTTTCAACTCTCTACTATAAAAATAGCTATAGTTATTGAAGATAAACCGTGAGAAAATTCCTCTTGTCGGGATCGACGCCATCAGAAAATCCCTTCTGTACCACGTGACAACGATTAGAGCGTCACGTGGCCGTCACGTGACACAAGTGCGCGCATCTGGTCGACCTTTCTCGTGGGAAATCCTGATTGCCTGATCGATCTCCTGGGAAATCCTGATTGCTACGGAAAGGGCTGACAATAGGTAGTGCGCCATCGACAGTGAGCCGCGCGTGCCGACTGTAGGATGGTTTTTTAGCGCTAATTTCAGCCAGCACAATTTTCTTCAAACAAATAAATATTGAGTATCCTTCCCGACCTCCAATTGCAACAAAAATTGGTAAGCTTACTCATAGACTTACAAGGAAAGTGTCCGAAAAATTTAAAGCATATCCAATTAACAGACATTATGTTACAGCTAAAAGCAGCGCATTTTGCCCCATTTTGATCATTATATCAACTCCGATATCCACCAAATTTTTCGGACAGTTGTAAAAGCCCTATTGGAAGGTCGTCGCCAATTTTCAGAATGATCTCATTTAAGGAACTGAAGATAAATCCGAATAATACGACAAAAATGGTCAAATTTGGACGAATTTGGTCAAATTACGCGACTTTTACAGCTACTTTTGCTCCAAAAGCCGCGCACCATCAAATATGGCACTTAGGCGAAATTCACTGATCTTTCCAAAAAGGTATGACAAATTTGGTATTGTGAAAATTCTCACAGTCTCTAGAAAACACTGGTACAAAAATTTTTAAAATCCGAGCAAGTTTATTTTTATCGTGCACCTCCTACTGACAACCACTGTTATTTTCGTTCCTCAATTTTCCAGTTCACTTGCTCAGTGCTGTCAGTTGTTTTTTGTTTGCCCTGCTAAATAAATTTCACTCCGTCATAATCCCCTACTCCCCTATCCAATGAACTGTTTCTGTTACAGCTGCCATTCTGTTGACTTGACCCTAACTTAGTCTTATCATTGTCACTTGATAACTTTATCCGTGTGCACTTTCTCGAAACTCACTTATCTTTGTCAAGACTCAGCTTATCTCAGATCTAAATGTTGCCTTAACAGACTTACTGGTCACTGCACTGGGCCCTCCTTTAAATGCAAATATCATATGAGCAGCCGATCGATTTATTGCTTGAACTGTGCATCCTTTTTTTTAAATACATAAGGTCAATTTTTCTATCGTGAAACTTAGTCACTGAAAGTGAAGACAACGCAATCTGGCTGTGCCGGTTCCCCTCTGCCTAGATCACTTAGAATATCCATAGTTAGCAATACTTTAATCGTTTAATGCAGCGATATAGCCAGTTATTAATGCCACATTGTAGATTTTAGCCTGTTCCAATCATCCTTATATCGAGTTAATGAAATTTATGAAATTGCCTACCGTTCAAATCGCTCTCTGTTGTTAGCACCACACTGATTAACTACAATGTTCCAATTTTTTAGAATTATGTCCGACATAATTCTAATTTTTGCTGTTACAGCAGATAGTTATGGTGAAATGGCACGCAGGAATAAGTCATCCCTGTCCTCCAAAAAGCACATGAAAAGGTACTTGGTAAGCCATGTCTTTTCCAATATCAAATCCAATGTATCACAATCTGTGGACTTTTTACTCAAAAACTAGATTGATTAATTGATAATTCATTGCTGATTGTTCACGCGCCCTGTATGGAAGTATAAAAATGGTAATCCGCATACTCCAGGAAGAATTGAAGCAATCTCAAGAGAAAAGAAGGGAATCTGGATCCTTCGTCGGATCGTCACAGAGCTTAGAGGGGAGCTCTACGCTTCACTGGCCATGCAAAGCAGGGAGAGTGACGGAGGCGGAGGCACTGCTGGCTGCTGGAGCGGACATTAACAAGCTGGACAGAGCGCAGTTGAACCCTTTCATGGACGCGATCAACTCAGGTAAATCATTTGACCGCCTTAACAATATGGGTTTATCTAACATTGGTAATAGTAGCAAGAGGTTTTAGTCATGCGTTTGATTACAGCACAGTGTGAAACCCTGAAGCATACGTCGAGCTCTAAACTCTGTTTTGTCTGATAATCAATTATTTGAATATTGAAGGATTAAATTTGGTAACTTGATGATCACATAATTAACAGAACAGGTCGACTGTGCTAGATGGCTGCTGAGGCAAGACGGTTGAAAGCTCCAGCCCGAGATATGGTCGTTTTGTAGGGAGAGGGGGCTAGAGTCAGTGCTAACAGCTTAACAGAAGGTAAAATCCTGAACTTTTGTTCATTGATTCTTTGAATCAATGAACAGATTCAAAGAATCAATGAACAATCGTTCAGATGTAAAAATTATTTATTCACTATTTTGCATTACATTTAGTTACAGGACTGACATGCGACATCCGTCGTTGACCTTTGTCTTTATTTCAGCAAGGTACGGAGAGCGATCCATGGCTGTCCCGATAGACCCACTCAGACTCCTGCCGGAAGATACTCCTCCGGTTGATCCAGATGAGACAGTTCTAGCAGATGATCAGTTACAGACTGAAGAACATATCCCACAGATCAATGCGTCAACATCTGCAAATGAAGGTACTTCAATCTGCTCTTCTTGTATATGTCTTTGTGCCTGCGTCTGTGATTGTACTGAAGTGTACTCTGTGTGTTTGTGCCTGTGTCTTTCTTTGTATCGAGTGTGTGTCTCTGATTGTACTGCGTGTGTCTGTAATTGTAATGTAGTGTACTGAAGTGAACTATGTGTGTTTATGTGTGTGTGTCTGTGTGTGTATGTGTCTGTGTGTGTATGTGTCTGTGTGTGTATGTGTCTGTGTGTGTATGTGTCTGTGTGTGTTTGTGGGTGTGTTTATGGGTGTGTGTATGTCTGTGTGTAACTGTGTCTGTCTGTGTGTCCGTCTGTGTCTGTGTGTGTCTGTGTTTATGCTGTGTCTGTGTGCTATGTCTGTATGTGTTTGTGGGTGTGTGTATCTGTCTGTCTGTCTGTCTGTCTGTCTGTCTGTGTGTCTGTCTGTCTGTGTGTGTGTGTGTGTGTGTGAGTGAGTGTGTGTCTCTGTGCGTCTGTGTGTGTGTGTGTGAGTGTGTCTCTGTGCGTCTGTGTGTGTGTGTGTGTGTGTGTGTGTGTGTGTGTGTGTGTGTGTGTGTGTGTGTGTGTGTGTGTGTGTGTGTGTGCGCGTGTGTGTGTGTGTGTGTGTGTGTGTGTGTGTGTGTGTGTGTGTGTGTGTGTGTGTGTGTGTGTGTGTGTGTGTGTGTGTGTGTGTGTGTGTGTGTGTGTGGTGTGTGTGTGTGTGTGTGTGTGTGTGTGTGTGTGTGTGTGTGTGTGTGTGTGTGTGTGTGTGTGTGTGTGTGTGTGTGTGTGTGTGTGTGTGTGTGTGTGTGTGTGTTCTTTCATAGAAGTTGTTATTTCCAAGATACGAAGTTCGAAAAGCTAGCATTTAGTAATAGACGAATTTTGCAGCTGATATCAGAATCGAAATGATGATGGTACTACACGAGATGCTCATGGAAAAAGTATCAGTTTGCTTTTCTCCTCCCACGAGCAGTACAAAGTGTGGGTTCAACTTTAATCTGATAGAATATATCGTATGCGGAACCCAAGCCCGGCTATGTCTGTACATAATAACGAAAGAAACCGGTAAGTTTTTAATCATGTAAATGTTCGGCCGAACGTTTGCTTTCATTTTAGACTAGTGACGAAAATCAACAATCGTTTGCCAGTTTGGTTAGTAAAATCGACAAAAAATAGTCCATTCCCCAAGGCCATGATATTCGAATTCTGCCCGTTGAAATCGGCCACTCTGATTTTTATCATTGAACTTTGCATTGATGACATGTTCATTCTCTACAGGTTATGCTGCGAGGGCGTTTAGCTCGATAGATGTTGAAAATGCCCACAGCATTATAAATCATTTGGACCGCCGAGGGGTCCAAAACTCCTCAATCGAAGAGCTTAGTAGACATGTCAGCAACCTACAGAGACTTCAAATTCTCAGGAAAACCTCTCTAGGACGGTAATACATTAACTTGTTTAGTTAATAAATTTAATAAGTAGATTTTGAGTGATGATTACTCAATACTGATATCGAGGTACCATAAAAAGGGTATATAAACTTATCACTTATGCTTATATGCTTATACTCTTATACTATCAATGAATATCAAATCGCCTTCTCTAGTTATCAAACCCAACATAAATTAAATCTCGGCCTACAAGGACTATTCGATATTTACAACAGACCGAGTGAATGTCTCAATCTTTTCAGGAAGCTTTATACTCCGACATCCACAATTTACCACGCCCCTGAGATCGACAAAGGTCTTTCTGATAGATTGACTTCCAGCCAATTCGATCTATCGAAGCCGAGTGGGAAGAACAAAGAACTGAAACCCATGGTCGCAACGATGCTCCTCGCGGACAAGGGAGAGTTAGGGCCATCGGTGGTCACAAGACTGCAGAATATTTATTTTTTTAAGCGTTGAGGTTGTCACGAAAGCGTACTGTAACGGGACTGTATCAGATTTGAGTGATTTGATTTTGTGATTCGCAGTTCACGTGATTTTATTGTGATCTTAGACTGTAAAAACTATAAAGGTTCAAGTTGAACTATCGTCGCCATGATTATGTATTTTGGAACTGTTCACGTTGAAATTGCTTCGTTAATCAGCAGTCTTCCTTGGTTACCTTCTACTGTGTAATGCAGCTACGATCAACGATACTTAGCTAGTACATTCATAGTAACTGCACTGAGAAGAGTAAAAAATTTGAGCTTTGACGGAATAACATTTCCTTGTTTTTAGATACGGTTACTATTCTAGTGAGGGGTTCATAGCTGACCATTAAGGTCTTACTCACAATAATTTGTGCTCTGATATTGGCCGTACTGACTGCTGTTGAAAAAGCCACGCCATCAGATGCGCGTCACGAGAGTCCACCCCAGTAGACCCCACTACGTACAAAATTTGAAATTTTCCCAAAAACTTCTGATTAAGCTAGTTTGTTTTCAATAACTTTTGCAATATTAACAGTAGACCCTTCAAATTTTCACCAAATGTTTCCCTAGACACTAGTTCATCGTAACTGTGTCATAAAATTTTAATTCAGGGACCCAATTTTGTGCAAGACTCCGGTATCTGACGACCGGTCGCGGACGTGGTTATTGTAATGTCAACTTCTGTTGCACACTGAGCGAGCTATATTTTGAGAACAAAGATAAACTTTACACCAGGTGAAAGCTGAGACGTTTCTCTTTAAGATGATCACCTCACATTCTATGTATCTGTGACATCGAGATAGTAACGATTCAAAACGTCAAGTTGAACAGGCTACAAAATACGCGCTGAATAAAAGTCCACCCCAGGAGTCCACCCCACGCGCGTAGGGTGTTTATATATACTACTTTGCGTGGCGGGTTTATGTTATTGTAATTATGGATTTCAGAATTTAAGGTGAATTTATATCTGGAAGATAACCAATTAAAACAAATTAATAAAGGGTTGTAAAATAATTGGGTTAAATAGGACTACAATATTAATTTAACTCTCATATCTCATAACTTAGTCTTAATGTCCATTTACCCCAATAATTGAAGTAGTAGCGAATGTGGCGAGGGTGAAGCGATTAAATAGGATGATTCACGAGGTCGCTGTTCCGGTTCTCTCTCTCTCTCAAGGAATAAGAATATAAAGTGGCGATCTGGTATTTTCATATAGTGGAATGTCAACTAGAACTGAACCATCTTGCATGGTCATCCCGAGGATCTAACGTAGTGACGAACGGTTCTCGAGGAAGGAGGGGGAATCAATGAAGCAATACGACTGGTGGAGCTTAGGTGAGGACAGGCAGAGCAAGTGGGTTGGGTATCACCGTCATATTGCCTCAGGAAAGGAACTCCATAGCCTAATTCTGGAAGGATCTATCGGGAACAGGTAGTACTAGTAGTGCGAGGAATCTATAATAGAAATGAGTAACATGTGGAGAGAGAACGGATACAGCAGAGCATGACCCCGGGCCAGAGATAAGGGAAAAGGCAAAAAGGCTAAAGGCGGAAGGCGGCGAGCAGCAGGCGAGCTCCCCTTTTTGTAGACTGCTGGTTGACAGGTCTTTGGGGAGTTGAAGGGGGAGTTGATTCTCATGGCACTCTTGTAACACCTCGGCTAGTTCGTCAACACAATAATCAAAAATCAATGCTGTTAAAATAATTGTAAGTATTCTTTTAACTATAAGTTCTAATAAATTTGAAACTTTAACAATCTTCAAGCCACTACTTTTCCCACCGGGAACGTCACAATTCCAAACAACTACTAATTTACAAAGGCTTAAAATACTAACTACAGCTTCACGCCGTGAGACATTTCAATCATACAAACCTTACAACTTTCAGCTTGTTACGCTGACTCCTAATATTTTCTAAATTGATAAAGACTTTAAATTAATCGACCGACTACCCGTCTCTCAGTATAAATATTTTATAAGATACTAATACAGGCCGTGAGATATTTGCAAACCTGTTCACCTTCAATTCACTATACCCCTACCTAACAGCTATTAGAGAGACACTGGCAGCGGTCCACTCTACCCATGATTATGGGTTTTGGTCAAATATCATCTCTTTTTGATTATAATGTCAGGGTACTTTACAAAGCCGAAATGTAAACTCATAACTTCATTAATATTAATAAGGAGGTGATTTCAACGATTTAGAAATTTTTCCTTTAAAAACATTTCCTTGTGTTTAGGTAAGCATATCGGTCGATCACTGACTGAACATGCCACTTTATACTCATTCAAGTTGGCATTAAATTCATATATAATGACATTGAAATGTCGTGGCAAAGCAGAATTTGTTCGAAATCACGAATGAGCAAAATTTGAACCTTTCGCACGTGCAAACCCTGAGCAGAAGTTGCGTGCGCATCCAATATTGAATCACCGTAAATTTTTGCATGATGGTCTTTTATATATAGTTTGATAAGCATGAAAAGTTTCAAAGTATTTCAAAAAGAACTGTAATCACAACGGCACTCCAAAGTTGACGGAAATTGGTGAAAACAGCAATATTCAGTGATTTTAGCAATTTTCTATCAATTTGGGCGTAGCCCCACGTGTGCAACTTTTCGATTTTCAACTTTAAAATTAGCCTATGACACAATTTAGACCTTTAGGAAGCAAAATTGAGCTCCACAACCCAAGGGATGGTGCAACACCAGAGAATACTAGAACGTAAAATTAGCGTTTTTATAAAATTATTCTTTAAAAAAGCACTAACTTCAATAGCGAATATCATTATGAAGGAGCAAGCTAGGAAAACTTTCCGGTAGATTTTCAGAATGCTTAAACAATTATCTAGCTTCAATATGTCCTCAAATTTTGAATAAAATTACTCCTTAATGGCGTTAAATTGATTTTAAAAATGATTACTTTGTGAAAAATCAAGTTTTAAAAATGGTTAACTTGATGACGTCATCAAGTGGTGATGATGACGTTGAATTACTTTTTAACATAATGTAAACTAAAGTCTAAACAATTATCTTGAAGACCTGTGGACCGAAATGGCTGTATCTTTAAAGCTTCTAAATCTACGGACACCTAAATATAGCCTATAATTGACTGGCAAAGCGTCTATCCCTGAATATATATATGTATGTATATATTTGACCAAAACCCATAATCATGGGTAGAGTGTACCGCTGCCAGTGTCTCTCTTTTCCAAACAAAAGGAAATGATATTAATTTGAGGAACCGTCCGCTAATGCAAAATGATACCGAGAATGAAATCGGTCGCTCGCTTTTCCCATTCATTCACGGCTTACGAATTTTAATAAAGCTTATTAAATGGGAAAAGCGAGCGACCGATTTCATTCTCGGTATCATTTTGCATTAGCGGACGGTTCCTCAAATTAATATCATTTCCTTTTGTTTGGAAAAGAGAGACACTGGCAGCGGTACACTCTACCCATGATTATGGGTTTTGGTCAAATATCATCTCTTTTTGATTATAATGTCAGGATAATTTACACAGTCGAAACTTCATTAACATAATTATAAATAAGGAGATAATTTCAACGATTTCGATATTCCGCCTTTGAAAATTTTTCCTTGTGTTTAGGTAGGTATATCTGTCGATAACCGACTGAATATGGCACTTTTTACTCATTTAGGTTGGCATTAAATTCATATATATAATGCCATTTAAATATCGTGGAAAGCAGAATATATATTATTCGAAATCACGAATGAGCAAAATTCTCACCTTTCGCACGTGCAAACTTTGAGCGGACGTTGCGTGCGCATACAATATTGAAATACCGTAAATTTTTGCATAGTGGTATTCAATATATAGTTTGATAAGCATGCAAAGTTTCAGAAGATTTCAAAAAGAACTTGGATCACAACGGGACTCCAAAGTTGATAAAAATCGTGAAAATAACAATTTTTAGTGATTTTAGCTATTTTAAATCAATTTGGGCGTGTCCCCACGTGTGCAACTTTTTGACTTTTAACTTTAAAACTAGCCTATAACACAATTTAGACCTTTAAAAAGCAAAATTAAGCTCCACAACCCAAGGGATGGCCCAACACCAGAGAATACTAATTCACAACTTTTGTGTTTTTATAAAATTATTCTTCAAAAAAGCACTAACTTCAATAGCAAATATCTTTATGAAGGAGCAAGGTAGGAAACTTTTCCGGTAGATTTTCGGAATGCTTGAACAATTATTTAAGATAAAAATGTCCTCAGATTTTGAATAAAATTACTCCTTAATGGTGTAAAATCGATTTGAAAAGTTGTTACTTTGTCAAAAATTAAGTTTTAAAAACACTTAATTTGATGACGTCATCAAGTGATGATGATGACGTTAAATTATTTTTCAATACAATGTAAACTAAAGCTTAAACGATTATCTTTAAAACCTGTGGTTCGAGATGACTGTATCGTTTATACTTTTGGATCTACGGACACTTAAATGTAGGCTACAATTGACTGCCAAAAGCGTCTATACATAATATATACATATATATACTTCACGACAATCTGTTGTAAAACAGGGGTTCCAGAAAACCCACTTGCCGATACTGCTGAAACATGAAATTTTGTTTACAGTCGATTTGGACAAGGTCTAGACGCCCTGCAAAGTTTCAGATATCTTACTCAATTTTAACATGGTTTTTAAGGCACCTGAATATGGCGATTTTGGGTTTTTTACCTAATTTCGTATAACATGCTGGCGCGTATTTTGCGCAAATTTCTTAAAAACCTCCATATAACTATTTCTTATTCCTGTCATCTTTAACATTGAATTAGAATGTTTTGAACTTAAATATACCTGCTGAACTACTTTCGATGAGTCTTAATGCCTGGAAAACAATAAAGGGGATATAATAGTATAGGGGGTAAATAGTATTGTGAATATAAGGGCGACGGTAATGCTTGCCAGCATTGTGATTTGACCAAAACCCATAATCATGGGTAGAGTGGACCGCTGCCAGTGTCTCTCTTTCCCAAACAAAAGGAAATGATATTAATTTGATTGACCGTTCTCAAATGCAAGATGATACCGAGAATGAAATCGGTCGCTCGCTTTTCCCATTCATTCACGGCTTACAATCAATCACATGCTGTAAAAATCTCTTTGGGTTGCGTTCGGGTCGATATACCTAGTATTTCGGGATAAGGGTGGTACTGGTAGTTAGTGAATTAGCTGAAGTTTATTGATTCTTTATTGCTGAGTATAACAGCTGCCTTCGGGTAGTTCTTCTTAATCTATTACAATTGTAAATTAATGGGAAAAGCGAGCGACCGATTTCATTCTCGGTATCATCTTGCATTTGAGAACGGTCAATCAAATTAATATCATTTCCTTTTGTTTGGGAAAGAGAGACACTGGCAGCGGTCCACTCTACCCATGATTATGGGTTTTGGTCAAATATAATCTCTTTTTGATTATAATGTCAGGGTACTTTATAAAGTCGAAATATAAACTGATGTCTTCATTAATAAGGAGGAAGTTTTAACGATTTCGAAATTTTTCCTTTAAAAACATTTCCTTGTGTTTAGGTAAGCATATTGGTCTATCACTGACTGAACA